CCTTTCTGTAACTATAAGATCAAAAATAATATGAACAGATGTAATTAAAAAAACATACAAAACTACAGATGTAAGTAAAACACACAAAACTACATGAGTGGAAAAAACGGAGCCCCACAGCGTCCCTTTCTGTATATATAATGGCTTTTGGGGACTCTTGACAAGTCTTCTGGGCCGTACTGGTTATGTTAGCTTTGGCTTTGGGGTTGGGGTTTGGCGGCTGCAGTTTGTGTACAAGGCTTGGGAACGGGCTCGGGTTGGGGCTTCGGAGTGGCAAATGGGTAGAATCAAGCTGTTCAACAAACTCCAAACCTTGCCACGTTTTTCTTACGGTTGAGGACTGAGCATTCAGGATTCAGGCTGAAGGGTTTCAGGTTAAGCTTTTCGTGTTTAGGGCGTGGGCCTTATAGTTCGCACGATGGTCAGAATTCTTGTGACCTTCCTCCTCATCATCATGACGACAGGGGAGCCCCACAGCCCTCATCAGAAGGAGCCCCATACATGTAAAGTTCAACAGTATTTCATTCCTTCACAAAGGGTTTGGGGTTGAGTTCGAAAACGTAGACGGGGCTCTCTCAGGCTCGGAGTCTCGAGAGTGCCTTCTTGGAGTCCAGGGCGTGGGTGACCAATTTCCTGAGACGCAGGCACGGCCCGTCGTCAGGACACTCCTTGGCACCGAGAGTTTAGCGGTTTAGCGCTTCAGAGGGTATCGGGCGTTCTGTTGGACCTTGCAACTCGAAGTTTGCTTGGGCAAAATAAAAGGGTGAATGTTGCGGGCCTGCTGGGACTGTATAAGGTCTTGAGGAGCGGGGTTCCTCGGTCAGCGGCCTCCCGAGAGCTTGTTCATCCTGGAGCCGCAATGACGGCACAAAAGAAGGGTTTTAGCATGTACGTTTTGGGGTGCTAGATGAAGAGCGAATCCTGCTTCTACGGAACTCTACGGATGTAGCTACTAATAGCTACTCAGGTACTCAGCCACACAGACGCGCAGACACGAAAACACACAAACCGAAACACACACGCACACAGACAAAGACACGCACACAAACACACAAAAACACACACACACACACACACATACACACACACACACACACACACACACACACACGCATGCAAACAAACACACACACACACACACACACACGACAAATAAAACGCACACATACACACAGAGACAGAGACACAGACACAAACACAGACAGAGTCACGGACGGACGGACACACACACACACTCTCCCTCCCTCCCTGCCTCCCTGCAAATCTCTCTCTCTCTCTCTATATATATATATTATACGCAAAATAGATATACATACATAAATAAATAAATAAATATATATATATATATATATACATGTAGATATAGCTGGAGATGCAGATATAGGTCCTTATTGCTTGTTGCTTGTCGGGGTCAAGTTCGGGTTTAGGGCTTTGGGGGTGGTGTCCGGATAACTTCGCGGCCTCGAGAGACGCATTCCGAAGATCTTCACAGGAACTAGAGACGTTTTGGTAACTCCAAAACTCCTAACCCCTACTTTCAGCACGGGACACTTCCAGCACGGGGCAGGCTCCTGTCCCAAATCCTAAACCTTAAATACCAAACACATCAATGCGGCTGATATCCGTGGCAAACTTAAAGCTCGGAACCCTAAACCTCACTGCGGAAAGCCCTAGACTGGCCCCAGACTCTGAATTTCCCAACTGTCCCGCGAAGCCTGAGCCCTACCACCTACGACTCACGACTCCGACTTGCTGTGGCGAGTGTCTTGCAGTAGTGCATCGCAGAGTTCAATCGACCTCCACTCCACTGGGCTCTCGGAGAGCTCTGAAGGCTTCCGGGCTGCTCTGAAAAGTGAAAAGTCTCTTTTGATGAGAGGCCCTGCTCGTGAATGTTGGAGGGCTAAAGGTTTGGGACTCAGGTTCTCAAGCACCCGCAAACGCACCAGCACAAAGGTCTGGGACACTCCAAGGCAGCCCAAGCATCCGCAATTAGAGAACAGAATAGATGCTGGTGATGTTAATGCATGCATTCTTGTGTTGAATTCAGGCACACACCTTATTTGATGGGTGAGTTGCACAATCTCGGACACGGTTCTGGGGATCTGTCTTCGCGTTTTTGGGGCAGTGTCACGCCTCGATAGTTGTTCGATACTGGACCCCAAACCTAGCATCTTGTAAACCCGAGACCGTAACCACCAAACCATGCGAGCCCCAAAGCCTTGCTGAAACGTTACGTACAAATACTGCTAGAAAGGTAAGCAAGACTACTCCAGAATCTCTTGCATTGCCTCACGGACACATCTTTTACAAGATCCTTAAGTTCAAGAGCGGGGTACTTCGAGAAGTAATCGCAACTAACCTATAGATCCTGAAGCCCGAAGCCCTGAAACGCGGCTATCTTGTAGCTCTGAAGTTCCTATTCCGGTCGGTATACCTCAGAATGTTCGGTATCAAGATTCCGACATCGAGTCCGACAAATCGTGCCGAGGGCAGCGCCTGGATAAATCTCCAGACTCGTATGCCTCAAGCGCCGTCTCGAACTCCACTGCTTGCATCCTGCGTAACGGGATGGCAGGGCTTGAGAACTGAATACCCCTAGACACTCTAAACAGAAAATCCTGGACCCCAAGTGCCAAATCCTCAAACCGCAAGGTTTTTGGTGTTTGAATTCCTCGCGCAGTCGACTCATTCTGGATTCCCAGACCCTCCGGCGCCGACGCAGAAAACACAAACTTAAACCCCTAAGCCCCAATCACAAAACCCCCAAGACGCAACAACCGAAAATCCGACCATAAACTGTCACGCACCATGGGTCTCTACAGGATGACACTAGCACCATGATTCCGGATCTAACCCTCAGAATCCAGAGTCGCTAGAACCAGGTGGAACAGACCATAATCGCCATCTCTGCACCGCCCCTGTACTGACAAAGCCTTGGTAATAGAAAGGGGGGGCTTCTGAATTAAGGGTCTGATGACCCCAAATTCCGGGCTTTCCGATTACCCCTAAACCTACATGTCAACCTCTCCCCACGACCAGAAACCTGTCTAAACCGCCGCCGTACACTCACGCCGCCCTTGTACCCTAAGCCTTCGCATTCCGCCATCGCGTGGAGACCGGAAAAGCTCGCTGAACCCTTTTGAGACTCCAATGAAAGCCTCATAATTAGAAACCTCACGACGAAAACTTTAAACAAGCCATGCACCATTCTTAACAGCTGTTGGGAGAACTCCTACCAACATGCCTATGCTAGTAGAACCCTTGTGTTTGATTCCGCTCCTCAGAAGCTCCAAATTCGAAGCTCGCTCGCATGTGGCCGCCTCACCGCCAGCACTTCGCAAGTAAAGCAGAAAGCATTTGGGGATGTTCGACATTGGGTGTTTTAGGATTTAGCGTCCAGTTTAACCTTAGTTGAAGTTTATATACCTTCGAGTACATCGGGCATCTTACCATGCTGTAAGGACATGAGTTGAAGGTGTATTTCTATGAGGAGTCTTGAGCTTCCCGGGATTGCAAACAGCGTGCGCACTCCTACCGCCACCGTTATTGCCGCCATGCCTGCTGTTGTGGCTCTTCAACCTATTGCTGCTATGCCCCCGAATAGCGATTCATACCCAGACTTTCAATATGTAACTTCCTTGTCGTTGCTGCTAGGATAACTATGACTGCTACCAGCAAAAATGTGACTCACACTCTAATAACCGCTAATATTACCCTGACTTGCTGCTGCTGCTGCTGCTACTACTACTACTACTACTACGACGAATATTATTACTATTACTATTACTACTAGTATTACCACTACTGCTAGTACTGCTACTACT